ATCATACTAGCTTCTTGATTTTTGGCCTCTATTGGCAGTACCATTGCAAAAAGGGAACTGAGAAACGCCAAACTTTCCTCAGACCTCTGAACTTACCTTCCAATTACAAGTTTATTTTCCCCTATTACGTGTCACAAAGCCAGAAGTGACTCTCACGGCCACACCTCCTTTCCCTAGCTTGGACATTACAGTAATCTCCATAAATTTAGCTATAACTTTAACAGAACAGCTCTTATAAAACCTCCAAAGCTGATTTTCTGTTTTCTTTCTTTTTTTTTTTTTTTCCATTTTTGTACTTGGTACAAGGTCTCACTCCTCAGCTTAGGCCCATAGTTATCTTCCTGTTTTCAGCCTCCCCAGCAGTGGATTTGCAAGTTTGTGCCACCGTGCATGCCCGCATGCCTGAACTCAGTCTCAGGCTCAGTGTGCCCTGCAAGGGGGCTGGTGCATTATGCGTGATGGGGGAGTAGGGGATCCAACCCTGGTCCCTGTGCTTGCCAAAGCAGGAGCTCAGTCCACTGAGTTAGCTCTCTGGCCTTACAAAGCTGATTTCTGAGGGCACTTGTATATATCCTATCTGCTGAAATGGGATGTAAGTTAGGGCAGAAATGAGAATCTAAAAAATTGAATAAAGGACTGGCCAGAGAGCTCAGTGAACTAAAGTGCCAGCTTAGTACAGCTCAGCAGCTGGGTTCAATTCCCAGGGTGCCATGCTGGCCCTGCTCCCAAGGCACACTGTGAGGGAGATTGAGATTGAGCATGGTTGTACATGCCTGCAATCCCAGCTCTTGGGAACCTGAGGGAGAATCAGTGAGTCTGATCTACACAGTGCGACCCTATAGACCCTGTAGACCCTGTCCTAAATACATAATAACAACAACAAAAATTTGTGTGGTCTTGGGACAGTTAAACTTCTTGCATGGCTACTGCTTTCATCCAGGCCAAATTTTCAAAGAGACTTCAGGGTAAAACTGTAAAGTTTTTTTGATCTAGATTTGGAAATCCCTGAACATTTCTTTCCCTGTGTTTTATTAGTTCTACAGGCCCTCTAGATTCAAGAAAATCTCAAGGACAGTTGCAAAGAATTTGAAGCCATCTGTAATTTAGCACAGAATCATCCCCCCCCCCCGATTGTTTACTTCTTAAATAAGTTACCTGCCAAAGCATGATATATTGGAATTTGAACAGAATCATAAAAATTTAAGTTGAACAATAGATAATTTTATAAAAATAAGAACAGATGGATGCACTATTTGTTTTGTAATTTGTATCAATCTTCTAAACATACCTTTATTAAACTAAAAAACCAGAGTTTCTCCAATGCTTAGTCACTAGTTCATTATATTTTACATTGTTGTGTCCTCAACTTGTATCTATGCCATCTTATTTATTATTGTTTTCTTTGGTAAGATAATAAAATACATAGCATCTTTATTAATAATACAACACACAGTCTTGTAAGATACTCCAGAAAAAGTGACGCTGAAGATAGCCGATGCAACCCCTGTTTGCCTGGTGGCCCTCAGAGTCCATTCCTTCCTGCTGTGCTCTTCTGTTAATTGGTTTCTCATGCCTTCAGAATGCCAGCCCAAGGTTTTAATTGCCAGTAAGTTTTCAAGGACATTACTCATCTCCTGTGTCCAGGTTTTGGGCCTCCTTCTGCTGGAATCTGTGATTCTAGGATCTTCTAGAAGCTCCAGGGCTCTAGCACAGAACTCTTGCTTGAATCAAACACCGATGCCATCATGTCAGATACCCCAGCTCCTGCCCAGGGGCACCAGTATGGCTCTTCCAGCCCCATAGGCAGAGCTCTTTGGTAGCCCTTGCTGCGGCAGAGCATCATGTCCTCATGGAGTTCAATCTCAGACACAGGGGTTGGCTGTGTTGACAGAGTGCTATGCAATGCATGTTACTCTGGTGTCCCAGCACTTGCTGTCTGGCACCTCAGCCAGGCTCCAGATACTAGCTGAAAAGTCCCTTCTTTATTTTTCCAGGACCTCGTGAGTCACCCCAGGGTACATTAGTAAGTAGCTCCCGGGCTTCTATACCTCCACCGTCTCATTTTCCTGGCTCTGGAGAGAATAGCTGCTTCCTGTAGGTATTAATAGCTCGTGAGCTCACATGCTGTTTTCTGCTCAGTCTTCTAAACATTTTTGTAACTAATCCCCTCTGCTTGAGATGTCTCATGTGGTTTCTATTTTTTGTGAAGAACCTTGAGTAATGTGGTAGGTGCTGGGCTGCTGGCAATTATTTGCAGATAGCTGTAAAATGTCCATTAAGGAAGAATACTCATGTGCTTCATTTAGCAGGCATGACAGAAAGGTGGTCATATGAGCAAGCCATTCATCAAGTATGACATTTTTTGTACTTTTGTTATTTTTTTCACTTATTTATAGTTCTGTGTATACAGCAGTGATTATATTTTGCAAGGAAAGACTATTTTCACGAAACAGAAAGCAGACATTCTTAGGAGTAATATGGGTTTCTCTTGCCAATGCCAAATTGAATTCTGTAGCAATAGAAGTCACAGTAACATGTTCACTGATTATTCTGTCATTAATAGTTCACAGGCAGATTCTCAAAACCAAAACTTTGGGTTATTATTGGGAACAAGAAAACTCGCATTCACAATGTTTCCATTTCCCTTGGTTTGACAATAACCAAAAATTTCAGTTTTGTTGTCATTTCAAAGCCTTGGAAGGTGCCAGAATTTCATGTTTTAGAATTATCTGCTTGGGCTTTGCAAATGGAAAACAAGCACAGCCAACTCCTCTTTGCACAAAACAATCAGCAGGAAGAAATCTCTGTTAGGTCTTGGCTCTTATATTAATTTTCCAGTTCTGCAAAGTCTGCTTTGTGAAAGCACTTGATTTATTGTCAGTATCCCATAATAAGTTATTAATTTATGCCTATTAAGTAATTATATACTAAATAATAATTACATAATTAGAACTAAAACCTTGGAAGGGTGGGTGTTGACATAGGGACTCACTTGTGGGCATGCAGACTGGCCTTGAACTCCGGGGGTAGCTAGGCTGGCCTTGAACTTGTGGGAAAAGATCAAAATGTTTGCAATAAAGAAAAATGAGAAGTTTTCTAAATTAAAAACTTTCTCGTAATTGCAATAACCTTTGCTACTTAGCAAAGAAAATGATATGGCATAATATATGTACCCAAGCATAGAAAATGGGTTTGCTTTTTTATTTATTTATTTATTTATTTTTAACATCATTTTATTTTGGCTTCTGTGGCTCTCCTGGGTGTATAATTATGTCAAATTTGATCATTGTCTTTTTATCTATAGAGTACTGCTTATATTCATGTCATAGCCTATGTATTCTATTTTGTTATTAAGTAAATCGGGATTCAAGACCAGCTTCAGCCAAATAATAGCTTAGCCCTTCAAGCCAGGTGAGGCTCAATCAGAGTGCACTTCTTTTTTTTTTTTAATATTTATTTATTTATTTATTTAGTTTGTGTGTGTGTGTGTGTGTGTGTGTGTGTGTAGCCAGCTCAGCCCACCAGGGGGCGGGGCTGGCTGGCATGTGGTGCTGGGGGATTGAACCGCGGTCCTTTTGCTTTGCTTAGCTTGTTCTAAGTAGGTGCTTTAGACCACTGAGCCATCTCACCAGCCCCACAGAGTGCACTTCTGGGGGCTGTTAGCTTCTGAGAGCTTCAAGGTCAAATGTTTGACAGTGATGGCCCAGCTAGGAAAAGAACTGGTTATTCAAATCCTCAGAGAATGAAATTTGAGGAAGGATATAAGGCCTTGAAGGAATCTAGAAATGCATTAGCTATCAAATCAGTGAAATTTAAGATAATATAAGAATGTTGAAAGCTTACAATTATCTAGTTTTCTTACAGTGAGGCTCCTTAATTCTTCCATGCAGCATTACCAAATAGGTGATAGACAATACAGTTTTGAGGAGCTAGCACACTTTGAGATTTTATTACACTTCATCTTGGGGTATGTTACCTGGAGCATCCTGTCTGGCCACCCTTTTGAGGATGTGCACATACATAGAAATGAGAGGACACCAATATATACCATTCCGGCTATCTCAGAGTAACAACATAAGACAAGATCAAGTAATACAAAAATGATTAATCTTCATTGTGGGAATGCTAAATAATGTCACAATGCAATCCAAAAGGAATAGGTTTGTAAGCTTTACTCTAGGAATATGTGCGAAACTTGAGTCATCCTGAGGCATTTGCTAGGCATTAGTACATTGGGCTCAGTTTTTTTTGTTTTTTTGGTCTGTATTTTAGGGAAGGGTCTATAGGATGTGCAGTGTCTCACTACTAGATTGTACTTGTAGTGATCAGCCTGTTTAAAGCCTCCCAAGAGCTGGGATTACTGACATGCACCACAATGCCTAGTCTCAATTGTCTCAGCATGCCCTGGGCGGGGGATGAGGGGCACCGCAGGCCAGGGGATTGAATTCCCAGCCCCAGCACCTGCTTGCAGGAGTTTTAATCCGCTGAGCTATTTGGCCAGCCCCATGGGCTCAAATGTTGCCTGAGTTGTTGATGCCTTATTTATGTTCTTGTGACAATTTAATTCAATCAGAGCAATATCATCCATGAAATTAAATTATTGTGGTTATTTTGAAAGTTCAGTTGTAGATTGAAAAATTTATAGTTATACCACTTTATATATTGCAAATTGTCCTAAGCTTAAGGAATTCATGAAATTTTAATGCAAAAGTACATTAATATTTTCAAATTTAAGGTCATTATAATTTTTTTCTTTTTAAACACTATGTATTCTCCAAAATTTATGCCCTGTTAAATTGATTATTGCTTATAAAATTAGAGCTAAAATGCCCTGCTATTGACTCAAGGAACAACTCCCCAAATATCAGTGACGCAAATACCAAAGTTAATGATTTGTTCGCGCTCCAATTCCCTTGCCAGTTTTTATTTGGAGCTTGTGGTGGCGGAGCTTATTTTTATCATGTCTAAGGAACCTATACTGATAGAATAGAACTCATTTTAAACATTACCCCTTCCAAGGGAAAATCTGAAGCATTTGGAGGGCCTCTCAAGGACAAATACTATTCTTCCAGAAATGAAGCTAACATCTTGTTAGCTAGAACTAGTTAATAAGGCCTCACCTGACATGAAAAGTGATCAGACAGCACAACCCTGGGAGAGAAAGGGAGACGACCAATGCAAGGCACTGTTGGCTGTCACAGCAGTAGGTGGTGTGACCCTCTGAGGCCACAGATGGGAGTCTGGAAAGGTACAAGAGAGACTTGTGTACTTCTCTGAATAATGTTCTATTACCGGTTGAACGTTTGGGTCTTCCCTAAATTTATATATTAACACCTGAGTCTTAATGTGATGGAACTAGAAGTTGGGTCTTTGGGAAGTACTTAGGTCCTAAGTGAAGAAAAAGGCCCATAAATAGGACTATTGCCTTGTGAGAACAGAGGGCTAGCTAGCTCTTATTGGTGTATCTTTTTCAACCATATAAGAGCACAAGAAGGTGACGCTTTTTTGTAAACCAGAAGAAGCATCCTCACAAAGAACCTGGTCTGCTGGCACCCTGATCTTAGATTTTGAACCTGCCCAATTATGAATTCACTACCTCTCTATGGTATTTGATTATTGAAACTAAGCTCCCTACTCTGTCCTGCTCTCTCTCTCTCTCTCTCTCTCTCTCTCTCTCTCTCTCTCTCTCTCTCTGCTTTCTGCACCCATGCTCTCTCTCTTTCTCTGTGTGTATGTGTGTTTTGTGTCTATATATGAACCAGTCGATTGTTTGGTTTAGAATTATCGAAGGTATAATTTAAAAGTCACCTGGCTACATTTCCAGGCCTTTCACACCGTGGTTGGTTTTGTGTTTGAAGGCAAGGCTCTGTGTATGCCATGTGGGCAATAGATTTGCAAGCCACTTAGAAAACCTTCACAGACTTCTGCTAGATTGGCCCAAAGCAGTTTATTTCCTATCAGTTTAGCATATTTCTTTCTCAATTTTCAAAATCTAAGATTAGGGTGCCAGCAGACCAGATTCTTTATGAGGTTGCTTCTTCTGGTTTACAAAAAAGCCTCACCTTCTTGTGTTCTTATATGGTTAAAAAAATAAATAAATAAAAAGGAGCTAGTTAGTCTTCTGTTCTGATAAGGAAATAGTCCTATTTATGGGGACTATTTTAACAATGTACTCAATAATTTTTATATTACTTGGTATTTATATTAATTCACTTAAGTAGTAAAGTTGCACAGAGATAAATATATTTT